AGTGGGGCCGTTGGCGCCCCAGCTCTGATAGAGGGTGGCGAGGTCCTTTGGAATGTACGTCTTGAAGATGCTGAGGATGTCCAGGCGCTTCTCGTGGCCCTCGGCGGCTGGCTCCTGCTTGACCGAGCGTAGCTCAGGGGGCGCGCCAGCCGCCGAGGGCTGGGCCTGCACAGCTGCGCTGCCCCTGGCCACCGCGCCAACGCCGCCCAGTGTCCTGGGCTCAGGGGCAGCTTTGGAGAGGGGCTCGCGGGGAGGTAGAGGGGGTGCCCCATCGCCTTTCCCAGGAGGCTGGCACGGTGGCGGGGGGCTGAATTTGGCTTTCGTGGAGTCCGGGGCACTGTGCTTGGGCGGCGGGGCCGGGCCGGGCCCCATGGGAGGCACCGCTTGCTTCTCACCCGGCTTGCTGGGGGCCGGGGGGCCGGCACGGGCAATGACGGATGGCGTAGGGGTGGCATTTCTGCTGAAGGTGCCGCCGCCAGGGGTGGGCTGGGTGCTGGGCTCCAGCTTGGGCCTGGGCTGCGCTGCGGAGGCCACAGGCACACTCTGCCCAGGGGCGAGGCCGGGCCGGGCCTGGCGGTGCCCTTCGGGGCTGGATGCCCACTGCTCACAGGGACTCCCTGAGGCCCCCTCCTTGCCCCGGGGCGGACCGGTGGCCTTCGTGGCCACGCCCAACAGCGGTGAGGAACTACCCCTGGGGGCCGGCCCCCCGCCCGGCACCTGAGTGCGAGCAAAGCGGGCGATGGGCAGCGGCTGGCACTCCTTGCCGCCCAGCGCGGGTGGGGGACCAGTGCGCCCGCTGCGTGCTAGGAACACCAGGTGGTTCTTGATGCTCTTGTAGCCGTTAGGCTGCACCCAAGGGGGCGCCACGGCGCTGCCGCTGACGCGGTGCCAGATGCGCTTGTGCATCCAGAGAACCTCGGGGTAGTAGGTCCGGTGGCTGCAGTATGGACAGGGATGCACAGGCAGCGCTGCCTGCAGCACGCACGCCGCTTCCCTACCACCCGCGCCCCGCGAGGACCGCGCACTCAGGTCCAGCGGTGCCAGCTCTGGGGCCCACGGCCCGCCCCCCAGGGGCTCCCTGCCGAGCGAGTCCGAGGGGGGCTTCTCCTGGGGGGGCCGCACTGGCCTATCCAGGGGGAGTGTCGGGTCCGCAACGCCCGGACACTCCGCGCTGGCAGGGCGCCCTGCGGCGTCACCCAGCCCCTCGGGCTTGGGGTGAAATGCTGGCATTTTCAGGTTGAGGGAGAATCTGTGCGATTCTGGTCTTCTAGAAGTATCTCTGGTATTGTTTTCAAGTAAGCTGACCGGAGCTGGGATCCCCGTTTTGGACGCGCTGGTGCCTTTTCCTGGCATGTTATCCCCAAACGCGTGGCTCTGGCCTCCGCTGGCGAGCACAGCCGGCGCTGCTTCCTCGGGAGAGCCGCAGTGGTAAGACTTTCCCCCTGGAAAAACGTTAAGTGAGATGTGAAGTTACCACCTCGGAGCGAACACTAAGACCAGGAGCGTTAACAGTGACAGGAAAAAAAAAACACAAAACAGGTGCTTTCGCGTCAGCCCCAACTCACGGCAACCCATGTGTGTCAGAGTAGAGCTGTGCTCCGTGGGTTTACAATGACTGATTTTTTGGAAGTAGATCACCTGGCCTTTCTTCCGAGATATCTCTGGGTGGACTCAAAACTGCCAACCTTTCCATCAGCATTCAAGCAGGTTAAATATTTGCACCCAGAGACTCCAGTTATGGAGAAGCACACCCCAACGCAGTCGGGTAGTATTAATAGACATGCGTTCATTTCATCTTGGGAAAAAGAGCACAGTTCTTGAGTTTGCTTTGCTCTTAAGGCATGCCCATTAAGCACAAACCAAACTAAAGAGCCATATGAGGATGTCTGGGGTGGGGTTTCTTTTTTCCATAGTAAAATGACTCACAAAACAGTACAGAAAAATATAGTAGTAGCTGCAAATGAAGATACAAGTAACTCCATTATTACTACTCAACAGAGGGTAACTAGTTATATTAAAAGCCAGAAAAAGAACTTAATTCTTTCTAACACTATAAGGCTTTGCACAATTTTCAAAGACATTTCAAACATGTGATCTCATAACTGAGACGCAAGAGCTCCTCAATTACCCAATCGTTTCAAGGTAAGAAACTCAGAGAAGGTAGGCAGCCAGCTGAGGGTCACACAGCTGGTACTGGACAGAGACAGGACTGGAAAATAGCTTCTCTGTCCACAGTATCCTACCGCCTGCTCTCAGAAATGGCTGGACCACAATACCAACTTCAACTCTGAATCTTCTTCTAAGATTCAAAGTCCAAACCTGGTCCCCAGAAACTGCCTCCAGAGGCCCCATGAAGCAGGACGTGAAAAGCTCTTCATTTCTGTACTTGCAAATGAAGGTTGTATGAGGGAAACAAGAGCACAGAGGTGGCCCCGGACCTTTCGAGATCCTGAGGTGGGGACCTGCGTGGTGACTTGTGCAGAGCCTGTGTGTGTCCCCATCACAAGAAAGCATGTTGTGGCAAGGCTGGGTGTGACCGAGCCTCAGACCTCACAGAACTCAGCTGCACGACAGTACTTAGACCCAGAGACCCCCTCCCCCCACCAAGTCCAGGCTGAACTCGCTGGCCTTGTGGGGAAGAGGGTTTAAGTTTACCCAAATCAGACTACAGGGTAAGTGCAAACAGCATGAGTTCGCCAAAATCCTGCCTCAAGTTACACAAACGAGCCGGCGTTTGTTTCTGCCTAGAAATCGTAATTTAGAAAGTGTAAGTGTTTCTGGATATGTTAAACCTTTCGTGTGACAGGACATGAGACGCTGCGCTGACCACAAATGCATCCGCATCTCTCTTCCTGCCGTCCAGCGTCTCCAGGCTACCGTGCCTTCAGGGGTGTGTCTTATGGCGTGTGGTAAGAGTCTGGAGGGGGGAAGGTGATCCCATCTCTCTTGAGAAGGCCTGATGTGACTGTCTTTTAAACAAGGTTTGTAGAGATTTTAACATTTAGTAGAATGTAGGTATCTGCTGACTCAGAACATTCTTTAAAAATTCTCCAAGGAATTTTTTGGCGTTAAGACCTAAGAATTCCATCAAAATGATATACAAAACAATCTATTCAGAAGGGATCTTCAACAAAGCAGAAAAAAGCTTCCTTCACAGGATGAATTTACAGGGAACCGAAGGGGCACAATGATAAATACTCGTTTCCAATTAGTATGCAGTTAATGAGCCTCCACAAACCGTTTTAAAGGATTATGTCTGCAGAAAAAAAATGCGCCTCGCAGACCGCAGACCGGGTGCAGAGTTGAGACAAAGGAGAAGTAAGTTGTTGGATTCAGACCAGCTCTGAAAAGCTAATGTGGAAATAAAGTCAGGCATATTTATCTGTAGATAGAAAGAGGAGTCCCTGGGTGGTGCAAACAGTTAACATGCTCAGCTACTAACCAAAAGGCTGAAGGTTCAAGTTCATCCAGAAGTACCTCAGAAAAAAGGCCTGGCAATCTACTCCCGAAAAATCAGCCATTGAAAACTCCATGGAGCACAGTTCTACTATGACACACACGGGGTCGTCATGAATTGGACCTCGATTCAACCTCAACTGGCTATCTGTTACACAAGGACCCCACCATTACTCCCAAAGCAAATGGGTGGGTGGCCCTAGCACGCTCTACTGATGCCGACGTGTACTGAACCTGAAATTAAACCCAGGGAGAGAGGCTTATGCCTTTGTTGAACGTAGCCTGAATGTCCAGCATGTGAAATTCACTTTTAAATTTTCAAAGGGAGTAACGTCTTGGGGGAAAACATCTAGTTTTTCCCGTGTTAAAAAAAAGAAGGATGCCTGAAAACAAGTCCTAAAGACTTGCGGTAGAATCTATAGTTGAAGCAAGGAGGCCGTGAGTGGCAATGCCATCTGACACCCCACATCTGGGGTTTCCAAAGTCCATCTGGCCAAGTCCCCACATTTTATGCTCCCAGAAAGGGTTATAAAGCAACATGGTGGGACGTCCAGTATCTCTGACTGAGACATGAAATAGTAAGTTAACTGTTACTGATCAATGGGAAGGGTGCCAACAAAAGACCCCATGAGACATCAAGAGAGTCCTTGGGCAGGAGGGGGGAGACATGGTCACATGTCATCAGGAGCTGTCATCAGAGGAAACCAGCAACAACATGAAGACAGAACTGCTGTCTGATGACCTAGTAACTTTGGGGAGACAGATGAAAACAGGGTGGTTGTTCTTGTGTGCTGTCGCATCAGTTTCGACTCATAGCGCCCCCATGTGACAGAGCAGAGCTGCCCCAGAGGGTTTCCTAGGCTGTAATCTTTACAGGAGCAGACTGTCAGGTTTTTTCTCCAGCGGAGCAGATGGCGGGTTTGAATCACCAACCTTTTGGTTAGTAGTCAAGTGCTGCTTAAATGCTGCACCACCAGGGCTCCTTGAAAATGGGGAATCTGATGGTTAATTTTATGTGACAACTTGGCTAGGCTATGGTTCCCAGTGGTTTGGCCAAACGCTAGTCTAGTTGCTGTCACGGACAGTTACATGTGATTAGATCACTGGCCTTGGGTAGAGCAGATTACCTTCTGTGATGTGAATCCATCATCAGTTGAAAAGGGAGCTTTCTCTTCACTGTCACCTGACCTATGGATTAGGGGACTTACTACCTGCTTAGAATTTTGTGAGGCAGTCCCTTGAAGCAAATCAATCAATCTCGGTGTCTGTGTTGTCTTTTTCTCTCTCTCTCCATATACATATGTATATATACGTGTACATACGTGTGTGTATATATATATACACATCAAAAAAATCAAACTCGTTGCCATCAAGTCAATTCTGACTCATAGCGACCCTACAGGACAGAGCAGAACTGCCTCATAAGGTTTCCAAGGAACGGCTGGAGGATTCGAACTGCCAACCTTTTGGTTAGCAGCTGATCTCTTAACCACTGCGCCACCAGGGCTCCATATATGTATGTATATATGTGGTTGCTGGGTGCGGCCAAGTCGTTTTGACTCACAGTGATGCCATGTGACAGAGGAGAACTCCCCTATAGGGTTTTCTAGTCTGTAATCTTTATGGGAGCACCCTACAACGTTCCGGATTTCTGGACTGCGACTGGAGAGTCTTCCCAGTGCTGCTTGTATGCCCACTGCCCCTGGGACAGACTCCACAAACCTCCACCTGGTACCCCGAGGGCTTGGAGCAGACTACTCCTGCAGCAGACTCTGTTCCTGGGACTCAGGACGCACTGGGGCAAACAGCTAGGAAACCGGAAAAGCTGAAAAGAGAACAGCTCCGCAAACACCTCTCAGGGCCATGAAATATGCTTAGGTCAAGCACATATTAAAGTAAATGTGCACATGTGCTTCCTCCCAGGCCCTCTACCCAGTGACAGACGACAAAGAACCCGGTCTTGGAGGAGAGGCGGTGAGCTCAACAGGTGTTTAACTGCCCAGGCCTGACCTACATTATTAGCTGGACAGTGAAATGCCAAATTAATACTCAATAAAATCAACATGGCCAAATCTGCTAACTCTTGAATGGACCAAGTGTCCCATTTTCTGAGTTTCCCTTAGACTGTGTCTTTTAGAAAATAAAGAATGAAAGACTTTGTAATGAAAAGTTAAACACAGTGTCACCCTACACCCAGCAATTCCACTCTTAGGCATATACCCCAAAGAATTGAAAGCAGTGATTCAAACAGATACTTGTATGCTAATATTCACTGCAGCACTATTCACAATAGCCAAAAGGTGGACAAACCCAAATGTCCATCAACAGATGAACAGATAAACAAAATGTGGTCTACCCATAAAATGGAATGTTACTCAGCCATGAAGACAAATGAAGTTCTGATACATGCTATAACATGGATGGACCCTGGAAGCATTACGTTGAATGAAACAAGTCAGATACAAAAGGGCAAATACTGCACAATCCCACTTACATGAACTATCTAGAACAGGCAAATGCATAGGGACAAAAAGCAGATTAGTGGTTACGAGGAGGCTGAAAGAGGGGGAAATGGGGAGTTAATGCTTAATGGGTACAGAGATTCTATTACGGGGGATAAAAAATATTTGCAAATAGTTAGTGGTCATGGTTATACAACATGGTAAATGTAAATAATGTCACTAAATTGTTCACTTAAAAATGGTTAAAATGATAGTTTTGTTATACATATTTCTTTTACCACAATAGTTCTCTTTTTTTTTTTAATAGTTTATAATGAATGTTTAAATGTGGCCTGGATCTGGTAAGTAAAAGTAGATGTTCTCATTCCCAGCTGAGACAGAGGTACTGTGCAGCCACCACACCTCTCCAGGCCAGTGTGACTGAGCTGGGATCACGAGGCTGCTGGCTGCCCCCTCCTCCTCACGTGACTCCGTGCAGCAACCACTGGAGGAGAGCAGACCCCACAGGAGAACGTCTTTTCATA